CTGATTTGAAAGCAATTTCTTTTCTTATGACTGGACAATATGTGTTCAGTTGTAATATGTGCAGGTAAAAGGACTCACTTTTCAGAATATCCCCTTTGTGTATCCACTTGTCTGTACTGCGTCAGACCTGTAAAATAAAGCAAACTAAAATGTAGACGCTCATATAGCAGTGATTCTGAGATTTGTCTGAGTCTGTCATTTACTCACTGACCTACTTATTACGCTGTTTTTGTACATAAACGCTTGTGTTCAATTCAAAATTGTTGCATTTAGATGCCTTGTGTCAGTTTTGATAGTGACACATGAACAAATGCAACATGGCAAGTTCTCAAACTCAACTGCATTAACATTTTGTCCCTTTTTTGTGCACTTTGAACAGCTTGTACTTTCGGTTTATGGCCACTTTTGTTTCAAAAAGGAAAGAAAGTCGTAGTTTTGGGAGTCGGGACAACATAGAGGTGAGTATGATGGGTGGAACACATTTCTTTCTATTTCTCTTAATTAGAACAAACAGATTTTACAACTTGTTGTAGTAATCCATAGTTTTTGCATCTGGAGAACCTATATTTTCAATTAGGCCAGATTTTAACCTCCAAAGAACCATATGCTAACTCAAGACCCCTATAAAAAAAACAAAAAACAAACAAGGCATCTTTATTTAACAAAGTGCTGTGTTTTAAATCTTTAATTTGAGGTATACTTCCATTCAAAAGCTTGGGGTGTGTAATATATAATAGTCTCTTCTGCTCTCCAAGTCTCCATTTATTTAACCAAAAATACCGTAAAAACAGTGAAATATTATTATAATTTACAACAGCTGTTTTCTAATTGAATATACAGGTAAGTGTAATTTATTCCAGTGATCAAAGCTGAATTTTCAGCATCATTACTCCACCCAAAAATCACTCTAATATGATGATTTGATGCTCAAGACACATTTATTTTTAAGATTGTTTGATGAATAGAAAGTTCAAAAGTACAGAATTTTGAAATGGAAATATTTTTCATTGCACTTAATTGTGACAGTGTAATTAAATACTGAGTAATATACTATAACAATACAAGGATTTGATTGATGGTTATTTGCATGTAATTATGCATGCAACATGTATGCATAAATTACTGTTATTACTATGGTAAGTACGTGCAACATGTAACATTTTTGTTGCATTATAATTGTCTTTACTGTCATAATGCATCCTTGCTGAATAAGAGCAACCCTAAACTTCGGAAGATTATGATAAGTTTCTCCTGTAACGCACCTGAGGGTCTGAAGGGCAGCGGATGTCCCGGTCTGTAGCCGCAGTGATGATGAACGGGGGTCATGTGACGTGGAGGACCACAGCACTGCATGTGAGCCCCGGGGTACGAAGGCGAGGGATAGTGGTGTGTGTTCACAGACGGAGGAAACGAATGCAAAGATCCTGGATGCTCTAGACTCGGGCTACAGCTGCCTGGAAGAGAGTGAGGCCTGCTGGGAAAAAACGAGCTGCTCTCTGAGAGTGTGTGATAGATCGCAGAGGGAAGACAGGAGGGAAGACTGTGAGGAGAACCCGAGGACAACCAGCCCTTGTGGTCGTCCCAGCTGGGGAAGGGCGTCTGATCGACGTACGCTGAAGACTGAGGGGAACTCTGGGGAATAATCGGCATGGTTGTGGAACGGTTACTGGTGACGTCTGACTCAAAGTCTTCACTCGTGGTTTCGTCATTCTCCTCTGGACAGTTTAGAGACCAGTACTGATGGGCCATGTGGGTCAGCTATCTGTATAAAAGATGAGAAATAGCACACTCATTTTTTCTGAAACTTCAGGAACTTGGTTTTACGTCTCATCTGTGCTATTTACAGTATAGTGTCCTTATCGTCTCTCACACTGGGTTGTTGTAGCGTGCTTTCACACTAGGACTTTAGGAGTTTGGTTCGTTTGGATTATGTGAACGCTGTTTTCCGACCTCAGGTTAGGCAAACAACAAGGAATGCAAACTATAAACCTAAAAAAATTGAGCATGTGGAGAAAAGTACAGTTGACATAACAAGTGCTACTCATACAATATGGGGCTGCAGTTATGTGTTCAGTCAGGAGCGCATGTTTGCACATGCATGAAGAGTAAATCTTCACAGACTGGCAGAAAACAAGATGACTTCTGAAAGCTGTCAGTGATCAGCTATGGCGGCGTAAGAAAGAGGTCAGAACTGTTTTCTACCGGGGAAAAATAGGCCTTAGTGTAACATCCACCCATGCAGCGTCCCTAAATAGGACACACTGCATTATGACTCTTTATCTGTGTGTGCCAAGATTGTGCAGCTCATGCAAAACTGCAGACCACAAGACGGAGAGATTTTGCCATGCAAGCAGTTACACAAAACATCAACCGTTATACAACATCGATCATGATTCTGTCTTACAAAGCGTGACGAATGTAGTGAAGTGGTGGACATGGTTCATAAGTTTTCAGTGCAAAGCAAAGTCAATGAAAATGAGGCAAAATTAAGAAGAAATTCGGCCGGAAGAGTCAGATTGATAAAGAAAATCTGAGTAAATACTCGTGCTTTATCACTGATAATCTGATTCAAATGTTTCCAGACAGTTGGCAAATAAACCAAGAGAAAAAATAAATATATATAGTGTTGAGTAAGTTACTCTAAAAAAAGGATTAATTACTAGCTACTAAACAGTGTAATTAGATGACTGTACTACTACTCTCTCTAAAAATGATTGCATTAGGCTACTTTCTAAATCACATATCAACCTCGACCAGTTGAACAACAATACAAGGATAGATAGTCATGAAACAGGTTTTTTAATTATTTCAAATAAACAATATGCAATTGCATAACTTATTCTTGAGCTGATGTGTAAAGGGAGGAGGTGACATTAAAAACATACATAACATTACATTTGATGTACTGAACTGTAATGAAATCACAGAAAAATCATTGTAATCCCTTACTTTACTTTTTCAAGGGAATATATTTGGTATGACAAAATAATATTTTTAAAAGTATGATCGATATTTAGTATATAGGATACTATGTTCTACATTCTGATGATTTGTACATATGAAACATTTTTTTTTACATAAAAATATGCCGTAAAATAATTATGAAATTAGTTATGTGACTTTTATTATTTATGAAACTTGAGAGAAACTCACCTGAGCGCGAGCAGGAGTCACAGTCACTTCAGGAAGTCAGACAGTTTCATTTGACATTTCAGTTCTTGTTTTCTCCCTTTTGACAACGATTTAGACAGAATACAACACATATTTTGATAATAACTTAAAATGTCAGCATTCAATGCCAAGCGACATGTTCTCAAAGAGCGTTTGGATTCGTGTGTCGCTAGAGGAAGAAAATGATGGGAGGAGTAAAATAACGCGTGAATGATGGACAGCTCTTGTTGAGCGCCAAATATAATAGATATAAAACTTTATATTTGTCAATCTTCATTATTTTTACTTGATGTTGCTGAAAATAAGTTTTAACAAGCTTTTGGGAAGTCTGCATGCATTTCAGAATTTATTTCAATAATGAAGGAGCAAGGAGTATGGCAAGCCGATTTTACATTTATTCATTCCTAACAAAGGGAATTTTTGATGTCAGGAATTACATTTCCACTAGTAAAAATGTTGATATCAACAATGACGTCATTACTTACAGATAGCCTATATGAATTGTTGATATCAAGAATTAAATTTCAACTAGTAAAAACTATAATTCTTGATATCTGTAATTGTATTTTCACTAAATGTCACCCCAGACTGCCATTCGTATTCAGTTGTTGATGTCAAGAACTTATTTCTTAATTCTTACTAGTTGAGATTCTAATTTCACACATCAGAATTATTACTGGTAAAATATAATATTCATAAATATAAATGATATAAATAAAAACAAGTAAATTCCTGATTTCAAGAACTCAATTTACACTATAGTTGATGTTAATTCTTGATAAATGTATTTCAACATGTTGCATTTGTTAGGCTATTTCTGATATCTGTAAATGTATTTCTGATATTAGGAGAGTAATTTCAGATGTCTAAATGCTTTTCTTACTGGTAACAATCTCATTACAGATATCAGAAATTAACATCGTCACTAGTGACGATCGAATTATTGATATAAAAATGAAAAGTTTTACTAGTAGCAATTCAATTGTTGATATCAGGAACAGACATTGACACTATTAACTGCGCAATCATGTTGAACTGTACTTCTGATATGTGGAATTGGATTTTCAACTAGTAAGAAATCAATTCCTGATATCAAGAATTGATTTGAGATTTAAAGTCCCCGTGAAATCAAAATTGAACCTATTTACTTTGTTAGCGCATATTACTAGTCTTGTGGTGAACAATTAATCCGTGCAAGTAAAAATATATTTAAAAAATGTTTTACCTTCGTAATCTTTAATCAAAATCTGAAAAGTTACTTCCGGTCTGGAACGGTTTCTTTTTCTGATGACGTAGGTTTCACAACTTGGGTGGGGAAACGCTTAACCACTCCCCTTAAACCGTTAGTTTGCTATGAGCGAGAGATGGAGAGGAGGAGCGCTAGAGTAAAACCCTGCCCTCTGTTCAATATTCCGTTTCACTTGGAAATACGTCACAGCACTGGAGAAAAATCTTTTGCAACTTCCGGTTCACGGGGACTTTAACTAGTGAAAATACAATTACAGATATAAAAGATTTATCATTTTTACTAGTTTAAATTCTTGATATCAAGAATTCGTGTTTCTGAGAGTGATGAAGTCATTGTTAATATCAAGAATTAACGTTTTTACTAGTATAAATCTAATTCCTGATATCAGGAATTGGCATTTCAACTAGTGAAAATGTAATTGTTGATATCAAGTTCGTATCCTGCGAATGAATAAATGTTAAAACGGCTTGCCATACTGGCCAATTTTTGAGTTCATCAGACAGCAGATGGCGTTCTATCTCGGCTGAATCTGGCGCATGCGCAGTGTCATCTTGATGTTTGAAGCCGCACAATGGGCGGAGATTTCTGCTGTTTCCTTCCAAATATCAACTGATGATCAACCCACCGCTAACGGTTCCCATGTAGAGGGTTTAGAGCGAGATATGCCAGGTACGTCCGTTATCAAACGACCTTTTTACAGCCTTTATCACTAGTTTCGTTCTGACTCAGCATGGGCTTTGGATGCATTATCAGAGAAAGTAGTTTATGCATACAGTAATATTCAACAGCATATGACACAGTGTATACATCTTACTGTCATGCATGCATGCAAAATAAACATTAACGTGAGCTGTACTGTGACATTGTAGTTGCATCTTCTTGTTTCATTTCCATCTCGATCATTGTTTGCATTCATTTAGTCATTAGTCATTCTGTACACTCAGTTGGGTTGGTCTTCCTTTTGCATTTTAAAAAGTCACCCCCAAACCTTTTACAGTACAATTACACTCTTTTATCCTAGTATATAGTTTAATTATGAGTTGATGCCATGTGGAAGAATCCACGTGCTAGAAGGGAATTAGGAAGTATAATTTAAACGAGTGAAATTGTGTGTCACATTTAGGCTATGTGTTACTTAATAAAAAATACCATGGGGAAAACCAAGGTACTTTTTTGTTAGTCATGCAAAATGTGGTATCGTATCTTTTTTCCTCAGTAAAATATCTAAACATCATTAAAATCAAACGTTTTCTTCCGGATCTCATTTAACACAAACAAGTGAAAAATGTACAAACAAGACAAATGACACTTGCATTATATAGCTACTTATATATGCTGTATACTATATATATATATATATATATATATATATATATATATATATATATATACTAATATTTGTAACATGTATTAAATTAATATCTTACTCGGTTTTGCTTGGCAGGTAAATGCATTTTATTTGAATCATGTTTAAGCAGGTTAAATAAATCAGTTAAGAATATTTTTAGCATGCACTTGTTATATTTTGTGTGTAAAAAAAAATGCACGTTAAGTTTTTTTATATTTTAAAATATGTAAGGTCGCGCGCGTGTTGTAAACATTGTATTTTTGGGCCTCGTGCACTAATAACACAACCAACATTCTTCATCGGCGTTACCAAGCAACGACATCCAGACGCTTGCTAGCGTCGCTAATGTTTTATCCGTGTGTTTTGAACGTATTTTTTAGCGCGTAATCCTCGTTGAGTTCTCCCTGAAAGGCCCGGGGTTTGTTTAGCATCTAAGTGTCATGCAGCCCGTCCTGTTTATACTGAGATCTGTTAGCCAGACAGCTGCTAAACAACTGCTCGGTGAAATTAAACACTGCTAAAGTTAGGTTAGCAATCACAACAGCTGCTTCATTAATGCTTAATGGTGAACTGTGACTGCTAATGTCTTCAAATATAGGGTACATGTATGTTCTCACGTGACACATGATGCATGTGACATCATCTTTACCATTTGAATCACTTACAAGAAATTACCATGGGAATACCATAAAATCATCACCACACCATAAAATGTCATAAATATCAAGGTATTTGAATATGGTAATTATTACATTACATTTATTATATATAAAAATATTACTGCCACACTGTACTTTGTGTTATTTGAAAATTCAAAGTAATACTGTGCGTTTACATATGGTTGATCATTGTTTTTACCATAGGACAAATAAAAGAGAAGTTGAGCCTATAATAGGGATGATAACAAATATGTTTTTTTGAGAGGGGGAGACTATAAGTCGCATTTTATTAAACATTATAAACACAGGGTGTTTTAGTTCCTCTCTCCCCACAACAAATCCTTTCAGTTTAATGAGAATCAGAACAGAACAATAATGAAAATAAAAGTAGCTTGTTTCCTAGAACCTTCCTTTTTTTAAGGTGTGTTTTTGTGACATCACCGACCCTACAATTTACATAAGCCCTGCCCCTGAGAACACTCAGTCCATGTTGATGAGAGGAAGACCTGTTGTAGTCCAGTCAGCTCGAACTGTATCATCCGTCTTTTCACATGCAATAGAAAGTCACTCTGTGTACATCACACAACAGTTCCCATATGAGCGATTTAGATTATCCTGAGAGAATATGCTAATTGAAGATAGTTAAGCAGCATAAATTCATCAACTAACCATTCAGAGACTTCTTATTCTCTCCATCTTTGACTGACTCTGTTTTAACATTAAAGGCAGAACAGTTTCTGTAATTTTAGTGTGTGTCTGCGTGATCGCAGCTGCTAACACATGCGAGCTCTTGAAACCCCGCCCTCTGCAGCAGCTCATTTGCATTTAAAGGGCCACACACAAAACAATGCGTTTTTGCAAACCCTCAAAAAGTGACAACTTTAACATGCTATATAAAAATATCTGTGGGGTATATTGAGCTAAAACTTCACACACACACACTCTGGGGACATCAGAGATTTATTTTTACATCTTATGAAAATGGCATTTTACCACCCCTTTAAAATAAAGTGTAGCCATTTATTCTTACATATTCGTACATTCATACATCTTTATCATAAAAAAACTGTATTATAAACACGCTTATAATCAGTATTAAGTTTTTAATTTATAAAGATAATCCGAGCACATCAACCATCATGTAAGATATTTTGTCTATTTATATGTAAGATTGATGGGTTTAAAGTGATCATTCAGTTTATGGCAGAGACTTTTTATATTACTTGACCTGTGAATAAATAATTGTTTTAATTTGCATTGCAGAACTTGAACCTGAGACGTGGAACTGGACTTCGTTACCGTGATGGACTGGCCGTTTGACAAGGTTTCGCACCAGCAGTGTTTGATCCGTCGGTTTTAATATCAACACATGTTGCACCGGTGCCGTCCACACACCCGCATTCGCACGTCCTGCGCCCTCTCGGATTCGGTCTTCGGATTGACAAGGTCACAGGTTGTTTTCTGGCCAGTATTTGAGTTTTTATGTGTTGTCTTCCTGAGCCGTGGTCAGTCTTGACGAAGTCATGGAGCCCAACATGGAGTACATAGTGGCGCAGGTCACGCAGAAAGAGGTTGGACGTCGGTTTCAAGTTGGACCGGAAATCATAGACTACATTCTGGACAGACAGAAGTCACATGACCTGGAAAATGATCAGACCATGCTGGACCGGATGATGGACAGTCTGGCAACCTCATGGGTCAATGCAAGCAATTTCAAGGTGAGAGAGTTTGGATATATCCCTATCTCTCATATCTATCTGAACTTCTATCTCTATTCAGTGTGGCTGCGGGTCCTTAAAAAGTCTTAAAGTTTTCCTAAAAAAGGCCTTAAAAAGTATTAAAGTGTCTGAGATTCAGATTCAATGGGTCTTAAAGAAGTAATTCATCCAAGATGTCCATGTCTTTCTTTCTTCAGTCAAAAAGAAATGAAGGTTTTTGATGAAAACATTCCATATAATGGACTTCAATGGGGTCCAAACGGTTCAAGACAGTCCAAAAGACAGTTTCAGTGCAAACTGCAAACTGCTCAAAGGGCTTTAAACGATTCCAGACAACGAATAAGGGTCTGAACAAGCGAAACGATCGCTCATTTAAATAAAAAAAAGTTTAAGTTTTATAAGCTCAAATGGTCGCCTTCCTCTGTTCTGATGCATGTTGAAAATCGTCTCTTTTCGTGAAAATTTAATTTGTGAAATTAGTTTTCTATTTATTTGATCAATGATGTTATGGTTTTAATGGTGCTATATAAATAAACCAAACTTAAAACTTGAATCTGAATCTGCTGAAAGCATTTTGACAATTCACTAAACATATACATGTTTTATACGTGTGTTTTTATACATGTTTTATATGTGTGCACGACTATGATATAGTTGTTGCATTGGAGTTGCATAGCATCGCTGCTTAATGTTGTAGCAGTGGAAATGATTGCTGAGGATGATAAAGGCATTTGTTATCATTTCAGGAAGGGCGACTCACTCCCGTTCTCACCAGTTCAGCGGGACTGTGCTTGAGTTTGTCTTTTCTGAAGCTTGAGTTTGAGTGGAAACTCTGGTTTATAATTTCACAGGACTGCATTTTTAGATGGCTGGCAGTGTGTATTAAATGAGAAATGTGGTTTATGCTTATTTTGGCATTGAATTCTTGTTTCTTTTAATGTGTCTGATTTTTCACTGATTTATATTCTGATGGTTGATGCTTTACCCTGACAACAATCTTTTGTTGCAGAAAATCACTTCATATCAAACACATTGACCATAAATAGGTTATCAAAAATGTTTGAATTAACAAGTAATATTATTGTAAATATGAGAACCAGGTTAAACATGTCTGATAGTCTGTTAATCAAAATTATCATTCAAAGCCCGAAACAAACACAGAACTATTTTTATTAATTAATTTCAGTTCTGAATGAAATATAAGTTTGTTTATCATTTTAGATAAAGCCTGTTATTTTCCACTGACATTATGTGATCGCCAAAAAATTTCACACAAAAAATAATAATAATATACTAATACTAATAATAATATAAATGACTAAATAAAAACTAAATAATGTACTATTACCATGGTAATATATCACTGTAAAATAAATAAAAGGAGTATATAAGAAAAATAGTATAATAATTAAATTTTACATTGCAAGTGTACAATTACAATACTAATATTTATAGCTGTCTTATTTTCCTTTCAAACGTTAAACCATTAAACCTTCATTTTGACGGAAAAACGCATGCGTGTTAATGAAGGTTAGTGCTGTACGACTTAATATGAAATATATAGGAATTTTCTGATCAAAATTGTCATTGCGATTGAAAATGCAATAAAAATGGAAGATGTTCTGTGTTTGTAGGGCTGCGCAATTTGGCCAAAATTTTGAGTTAAAAATACCAATTTGGCTATAACAAATAATACATATTTTAGTGATGGGCGATGATTAATCGCATCCAAAATAAAGGTTTGTGTTTAGTGTTTGTATAAATGCACACACTCACACATGCATGTATATATTTAAGAAAAATGTGTTATTTATATATAAAATATTAATATTTATATATAATATAAATTATGCATAAATATACATACAATATGTACATGCACATATTTCTTAAATATATATACATATATGCATGTGTGTGTGTATTTTTATATATACAAAATAATTATAAGCAGTACACACACACACATGTATTATGTAAACGCGATTAATCGTTGCCTTGCACTAAATTATATTTTATTTAATAATAATCTTTTATTTTTACATTGACAGTGTAGAATTACAATAATATGTGTGTCTGTCTTAATTTCTCTTCATTAAACTTTTATTTTGACAGAAAACTGCAGTCTCTTTTGTTGATAAGCGCTTCTCACATTACTAAACTCTCGTCCTACACTGAGAGAGATCATGTATCTGCGTGGGAATAGTGATGATGATTCAGCCTGAGATTATTAAAATAGCTCACCGACTGTGTGAAGAGCGCAGTGTTTGCAGCCTGATGGTTGTCTAATGGTTTTGTCAGTTGACGAACTGGTGGAGATCTATCATTTGTTTATTTGATTAAACAGCCAATGGCGTGAGATTGGGGGCGGAGCTTTCTGTTTTCTTTTGTTTCTTTGTATCTTTTTGACCAATGACAGATGGCAGGAGTGCTTGAAGAGTGTTTTAAAGTGAGACTGTGTTAAGTTGGTGAAGATGAGGATGATTTTCTCATTTGTTTGTAAACTGTTGTGTCACTCCCGATGGCTTAGGTCTCAGTGGGGATGCAAGAGTGGAAAAATTGTACAAAAGTGACGTGAATCCGGTTGTTGTGGTTTTAGTACTCTCCTGTACTCCAGCTGGTGTGTCTTTGATCTACAGATGCATAAAGTTCATAAAACACATGCAGAGTCGATGCATCTTTTTAATTTTGCAGCTCAAGTTTCTGTTCTACAGAAGAAAGAAATGCAACGTGAGGTCGTTTTTGGGTGAACTAGCCTATCTCTTTAATGCACATATTGAAATCCATCCCACGGATTTCACTCGCAGTCACGGCCGCATTAACCATAGGGCTAGGCGGGGCTTAAGCCCCGGGGCCCAAGCAAGGAGGGGGCCCGTGATTGGCTGTGGAGCAGATACTGCAAGCCATCTGATTACCAAAGCCTTACGACGCAACGTCCCCCACAAATTATCCCTGTTATTTAGTTGCACTTTGCCTTATATTCCATGCATTATCATGGAATCATTATCATAGAGACGTTCGCAAAGACCCGCCTTTTTTAGGTACTATGTGACGGGCCACGAGCCAGGCGGCTCTCACGAGTCACGCACATCATGTTCTCATGCGCTCACGCAGTGAAAAATACTTCGCGGGGCAAAGACTAACGTTACACTGAGTGATTACGAGAGAGAGTTCAGAGCAGCTTACTGATGATATGAAACAAAGTCTCAACTTTCAAATATTGTCATTTTCAAATATTGTCAATTTAAACATTACCGTTTTCAAGTTCATGTCCACCGACTGACAGCTTTGTTGTCGGACAAAGTTGCGTATTCGGCGTTATGATTGGCCAGGCCACCTGTCAATCAAACCCCCGTAGGCATGCAGGGCCAACGGCTCTGAGCAGGGCATGGTAAATTGAAACGTCAGGTTTTAATTTGATATGACAAATACATTTATTCTATATTTAACTTGTGAACGACCGACCTGCTACTGCACGTAAGTTAGGCCTATAGATGATTGCTGCCTGCGCCTTATTAGAATAGGCTATACATCAACCAAATAAATCGCCTTTACTCTTCATTCTAATCTAGTCTATTCTTAAAACACAGCGTCATCGACCCACAAACTTTCGGTAAGTTTGAATATTAACTTGATGGATGTATAATTTTGCTTTTTGTGTTTGATTAAACTCTATATTCGCCTAAAGGGCTGGCGATAATATATCCGGTAGAAATATTTAAATTTTGCTGCGCCATCATGATGTAAGTTTATCATTTAAACGTGTTTTTAAACGTTGTGGTTTGGATACAAATTATTTCAAACTGCTCAGGCACAGTGAGCAGCGGGAGAATTCATTTTGTAAATGCTGGTTTTGAGACCAAGGTGAACCATAGACTGTGGTGAACTTGAGACGGTTTTGCACAGCGCACTTAAATCCGACTCTGAGGTCTCAAAGTGACAGACGCTGCTAATAAAGCTGCTGTCGCCATGTGTGTCAATAATGTTAATCAAACATCAGAAAGAAAGTAATTTACTTGCGTTTGACTGAATTACTTTTGCAAAATTAACAAGAATGAATGTTGAATTTATAGTGAAAACCATGTATTGTATATTTGATTACTTTATATAATATAATATTATTCAGTGCTTTAAGTTTTTCATAGGTCGATTTATTGTGCCTTTGTTCTATTTTAATTTGTGACTCTTGTCATCAGTAAGCTTGAGATTATTTTCTTAAGCTACTATTATTTTTTGGTGATATTGAAATTGGTCACAATAATTATGAAATTTTAGTCAATACATTTTGATATGATAAAAAAATCGTGTTAAAAGTAACATAACTTAACTGTGAAGTATATCATAGATGGATAAAATGACTCGTATAATAATATAACATTTAGCTCATGTAGTTGGTGACCTAAAGTGGTGGGGGGGCCCTGCAGTAACTCATAGCCCCGGGGCCCAGTGAGCTCTTAATACGGCCCTGCTCGCAGTCATCAGAAGATGTGGCTACAGTGAATGTAGTTCAGCATGAGTGATGAGGTTGTAATAGCTGTACTGATGTTACTGTAATGACACTCTCAGAGACATTTAGGGAATAAAAGACATTTTAATTAGATAAATCGAATCGATAATCAGTCTTTAGTTTGATAGATCTGTGATGAAGTTTAACATTGTGCAATAGTTAACGTGCATGTGTTCATCGCACCTCTGGACTCCTTTAGCAAGCGTTTAACGGCTCACGAACGCCTGAGTCTCCTCAGCCAATCAGAGCGCTCGTCCCACAGCTGGCCTGGAAACCCAGCCGAGAGTAATCACCCCACTCTCCGTAATGAGGACAGCGAGGGGTCCCACTGCAACACGGGCCATCTTATTTTACCTCACACATGCTCAAAGTCACAGTTAGGACGAATGTGATGATGGAATAAACATTCTAATGTTGTAAATAAAGCCATGTGGTTATATAAATGTGGCATGTTAATCTGTAGAAAGCATGCATCTGGTTCATGCAACCCGAT